GTCTGAGACGTGGGTCTCGGTCTTTAGGCTCTTTACTACCATGTCATCCACATAGGTTTCGACGTTCCTCCCCATCTGCTCTTTGAACACCTTGTTGACAAGGCACTGGTAGGTGGCCCCCGCATTCTTGAGGCCGAAGGGCATCACACGGTAGTAATATGTGCCATGCTCGGTGATGAATGAGGTTTTCTCTTCATCATCTGGGCGCCTCTTTACCTAATTGTATCCGGAGAAGGCATCCATGAAGCTAAGTAGCTCGTACCCTGTAGTGGCATCAAAGAGGTGGTCTATCCTTGACAAAGGAAAACTGTCCTTGGGGCAAGCTCGGTTAAGGTCTATGAAATCAATACAGATTCGTCATTTCCCATTAGCTTTCTTTATCATAACCACGTTTGACAACCAGTTAGAGTAGTGTACCTCTTGGATGAAGTCGGCGTCGAGTACCTTTTCAACTTCCTCCTCTATGGCCTTCCAACGTTTCGTTGCAAAGTTCCTCTTCTTTTGTCGAACTGGCCTAGAGCTCGGGTCCACGCTTAGCCTATGTGTAATGACCGAAGGGTCAATTCCGAGTATGTCAGCGGTGGACCAAGCAAAGACGCCGGCATTGAGTCTGAGGAAACTTACCAGTTCGGACAGGCTCTCAGGGGGAAGGTTGGACCCGACATGGACTGTTTTGTCGGGTTCGTCCTCATCTAGGGGGACCGAGACAAGGTCCTCAACCGACTGGCCTCGGCATGCTAGCCCCTCCCTGAGGTCGAGACCCTCTAGTGGCAGAGATTCTTTAGTCTTGCCCTTCAGCACTGCCACATAGCACTAACGGGTGGCATGCTGGTCCCCACGAACAACCCCGACACCATGCTCGGTGGGGAACTTCAAGGCGAGGTGGTAGGAAGAAATGGCTGCCCAGAGTGTGTTAAGGGTTGGCCTCCCCATGATGGCGTTATAGGGTGAGCCAATCTTCAYGACCAGGAACTGTTATCCTTGTCACTTGTTGGGGCTCCGTCCCTATTGTGACTGGTAGGGAAATCTTGCCCTCTGGTTTGACAATGCTGCCGGAGAAGCCGACTAGTGGGGCATCTACTGGTTAAAGGCGCTCCAAAGCTATCTTCATCTTTTAAAAAGCTTCATAGAAAAGGATGTCGGCTAAGGAGCCACTGTCAACAAGGATCCTTTTGACTACGAAGTTCGCAATGACGGCCGAAACCACCAATGCATCATCATGGGGGAATAATACCCCCTTCAGGTCCTCGTCTGTGAAGGAGAGGGGTTCTTGCTTCTACTTCTTGGAGGCCGGCCCTTGGATGTTTAGCTGCCTGGCATAGGCTTTGTGAGCTGAGACCGAGGCTCCACCAGAGAACGCACCTCCCACTATAACGTTGATGAGGCCTGCTGCTTGTTGTTGTGGCTACTACTGCTGTTGAGAGGATGAGGGACCGGCCTCGCCCCCGACATACTGGTTAAGGTGGCCCTACGAATGAGGGACTCTATCTCATTTTTTAGATCATAACAGTCCTCGGTGTCGTGGTCGGTACATCGGTGGAACTTGCAGTATTTTTTAGGATTCCCCCGACGGGGGTTCTTCTTCAACTTTTCGGGCCACTTCATAAATTTCTCCTGCCCAATCTGCATCAAGATCTGCGTGCGGGTGGAGTTGAGTGGCGTATATTGATTATAAGCCAAGGTTGGGGCCGAATGCTTTCTATTGTTGTTGTTGTTGCAACTMTGGTCCCCGTTTTTTCTCTTCTTCTCCGGGGCTCCGTCTCGGTGCTTCGCGCCCCTCTCATGGGCGTCCATGGCTGAGGCCTCTTCAACCGCAATATACTTCTGGGCCCTTTCTAGGAACTCTAGCTTCGTCTTCGGTTGGCTTTTGGCCACGGAGCATTTGAAGGCAAAGCCAGGGAGGAGCCCACTGATAGTGGCATGCATGGAGACTAGGGGGTCGAGGTCGCGGACCTCAAGGTCTTCTTTCTTGAAGCGGTCAATGTATGACCACAAGCTTTCCCCTCGCTTCTACTTGACAGTCATCAGCGAGACAACTCTCTTCTGAGGGCGCCGGCTGCTAATGAAATGTGCGAGGAACATGCTGGAAAATTGCTCCCACAAGTTGATGAACTGAGGTGGGAGGCTTGAGAACCACCGCCGAGTGGCACCCTTGAAGGTTTCCTGGAAATTTCGGCACATCAAGGTGTCGAAGTACACATATAGGATCATGAGTGCCCTAAAGCTCTCCAGGTGGTCGTCCGGGTCAAAGTTCCCGTCGTACATCTCCAAGGCGGGAGACTTGAAGTTCGGGGGTAGAGGCTCGGCGATGATATCAGGGGAGAAGGCACCCATTCTCCCTTGGCAGGAGCTTTGTCCGGTCGAGGTGTCGGTTCGGCCCTCTTTCACCTGTTTGAGCTCGGCTTTGACAGCTCCGAGCTYAGCTTGGAGTTCGGCGAACATGGGGTCGGGCATGGCCTGCATGCCATCCCAGTCTTCACGAACATGGTGGTGCTTGGCACGGACTCCGGAGTGCTCGGAGTTGAGACCGCGTGCTTCGCATTTAGTGCGGCGGTCGTTAAGGACGTCCCGGAGGTCCGAAACATGAGGGGAAGAGGCTCGGTGCCGACCCTCGGCCCTGGAGTGGGCGCTAGGGCGATCACGACGCCCGCCTTCGTCCCTAGGGTCGGTCCTCCAGCGTCGGTGGTGTTGCTTGGAGGGTTGGTGGTTGTCCTCCAACTGTTCTGGTTCTTCCTCCTTTCTGCTGGAAGGTTTAAAGGTGCTGGARCATGGGCTGGGCGACTGCTGCCAAACTCTAAGGGCTCGGTCCGCTCTGCATGGCCGAGGCTGGGGGCCGACTAGGTGGTGGACCCGTGCCAGCCCGGCTGTGTTGATTCCCCGGCGGGGCAGTCACCTTGGGGGTGACCTCCTGCTTGGGGGAAGTTTTGCTCGACTCGCTGTGTCAAATATTATAGGCGGTCGAGCATGGCTTGGAACTGTTCACTGGTGACAAGATTTTGCGTACTTCTCGTTCTTCGTACAATGATGATTGGTCGGAGCTTGGGGACTTATTAACTTGCTATAGTTCTTTCAGGGAACGTATCAATGTCGTTCCCACAGACGGCGCCAATTGTTGGTGCTCGGAATGGTCGATGACAACAAAGTAATTCCACCCATGAACTCCGAAGGCTGGCCGAAGGCTTTGAGGACTCGGAGAGGTCGCTGCTGAGGCCGAGGTGTGTAGGCTGAGGCGGGGTGGACTCCGAGTACGGTAGAAGCCGAGGGTAGATAGCCGAAGTGCTGCAAGGCAGAAATTCGTCAGAGGCCTTGGGTGAGAACCCAAGGCAGAGTCTCCGACGATCAAATTAGTATAGGGTACGAAGGAAGAATACCAGGACAAGATCCTGGTAGATAGTTCTAGACTAAAGTCACAATAGCAGTTATTGCAATAGCTATTAYGGCAATAGTTATAGGTCTTGAGTTTTTGTAACCCCCTTACCTGGAGGGGGTACCCCTATTTATACTTGAGCTGCTTGGAGGTAGGTGGAGATGAACGCCTCAAATGGGAGCCGTACGAGGGCCTGTAGCGGTTTGGCAGGGTCATATGAGCGCATCACAATTGGCTCCGTATGATGGGGGCAGGGTAACACCTGCTGTAGTGGATCTCATTCCTTGATCTGGCGCTCGTGGGATGGGCCCCCCAGCCTCAAATGGGCTGGATTGGGTCACCCCACATCAGAAGGTGTACGTGAAAGATGGACTTGAGGGTCCAAATGTGATCTCACAATTTACAAGGTTTTGCACCGTAGATATTTAGAAATGCAAATACAAATTTGGAAGGAATGTAAATACAGATTTAGAAATGCAAAATATAAGACTTGAAGTTATACATATTTGTATTCATACTCTTTCCAAACTGAGTATGAATCTGCAGATTTAAATGATAGGCACAATGCAGCATGAATCTGCGGATTTAAATGGGTTGGAAGTGTGCACTGTGCACATCGGCGATCAAAACAATCCAGAACAAAACAAAGAATAACGGAACATAGACATAGTACAAGTGGAAGCAACAATTGAAATCACTGATATCAGATGCAAGAAAATTCTACTAAAAAGCTCCAGAAAAGAATTCCAAGGTAGTCTGTCATTCAAATGCAATCCTGAAACTGGAAGATGTGGATTGATTACCCAACTGATTTTGGTGGCGTTTGGCAAGTTTTCATGTGGTCTTTCACGACCAACATTTAGTCTCTCTTTTGGCAACAAGGACAGGACCCCAGAAATCTTGAAGCTTCCTATATTTCTGCATCCATCCAAAGTCTTTTATTTAACAGCTAGATCATAGTGGATTAAGATGGGCCTAAATCCTTAAAGACGACGTTAGTTAAAAGCTCATTACATCTTTTAGCCATCTAAGCAAGATCTTAGAAAAGTTTGCCAAACGGAACCTTTACTATTGCTACAGGACAGCTCAAGATTCAAGTTGTTACTATTGGCTTGGTGCAGGACAGCTCAAGTTGCCTGCAGTTAGTTTTTGTTTTGTTGACAGAATGCAATGAAACTGAACACGGCCAGAAGGGTTTTCTCGGATACGATCACTGGGTGGGAGATCCAATCATCTGGTTGGTTAGAGCTTTTATGGCTATGTTTGGCTTGAAAGAAAAGGTAGGTCCGTAGGTTTGTAAAGATTTCCTTACCTTTTCCTTCAAACCAAAATACCCTAAAAACTGCATTTTCCTGGAAATGGATCTGGGGAGAAACTGCGGTAATCTTCTTTAAGGTCAAGCGTGGTAGTTATGTTGGCGTTTCTGTTGTGTAATCTGGAGTATTGTATATCCTTTAGGAATTCGGATGATCTGAACGCGATGGCTGTTCGGCTGGGTGTGAAACAAATGGCAAGGTTCCCCCCACTGTGATTGGTGCGGACCCCATGTATTTGATTACTCGCGTGGAACTTTATCATTGGTTCCACAGCCATTTTTTAGTGGGAGGTTCCCCTGAAAAGAAAAAGCATGAAATGGAGAAAAGGCCAAACATTTTCAACTACTTTAACCAACTATATCTTGTACCAGTGTGCTAGTTGTACAGACAAGAACAAACTTAAAACAAAATTCTTAGTTGATCAAGTGATTTTCCTAGGAAATGTAGCATAAAAGTTTCAATGGAAGCAATAAAATAAAACAAAAAGAAATGAATAGTTCATTCATCCTCCTGACTGCGCAACCTAGCCAGCTTGTTGGTAACAACAACATCAAGTTGTGCAGCACGCTCAACAATCTCCTTCCTCTTCCGGGTAGAAACATCATGTGCAATCTCAGCACAGTAGGTCCTGCAATATCATTACCACAAAAACATTAAAAGGGTCCTGTAAAGACTTGTTTAATGGCAAATGAGTGAATATTCCAAGTTTTGGTGAATGTGTATACATAAGAGGAGGGCAGAGTGACCAAACCTGTTGTGCATCATCAACAATTCAAGCTCCTTAACATTGTGGACTACAAATTTCTTAAAACCATTGGGAAGATGGTGGCGGGTCTTTTTGTCTGAGCCATAACCAATGTTAGGCATCAAAGTGCATCCCTTGAACTTCCTCCGCACACGAGAATCAATACCTTTTGGCCTACGCCAGTTTGGCTGTCACGAWTAATAGAAGCAACCCACATTATTAGAACCCTAAAAGAAAGGAAAAGCTAAAAGTAAGAAGAGAAAGTAAAATCAGAAGGCCAAGCAAACGGGTAATCTTGTGAGAGGATTCTGCAAAATAAATTGCACAAGTCAAAATTTGCACATGTATGAAACGATTAAGATTCAGTTCATCAAGTAGATATAAATAAACAGGTTACCCTATTAAACAAATGGGAGTAAATAGTTGTCAACCTGAAGCACAAAATATTAATTACCATAACATTTTTTTTATCAATAAATTACCATAACATTTTCCATATGCAATAGTAGATTTCACTCTATAAAGAACCTTCTGATTTAATTGATTGGCTCAATAAAGAGGTTAACTGACTATTGGATTTAACATGAAATACATTGACTAGACATAACCCACAGAAATAGAATTGAAAACAATTTTGCAATACACTTAGGAGAGCTCATGCCTATGATACCTAGATAATTGTACATGCCTAGCATAGCAATACACTTAGGATTTACGATATGATTCACGATTTGAATCATGAACCCCAAGGATTTAAATTTGAATCTTATGTCCAAATCCTTTTCTGCAAAAATCTTATGATTTTTCTTTGAATCCTACAATTTGAATCATAAATCTTATGATATATACAATTCATGCGATTCAAATCAATTCAATTAAGAATTAGTTCTCTACTTTGGTCATTTTATTTTGTTAATATTTAATTTTGTCAAAGTGACTTGTTTTAAAGATCTTACTAGAAATTGACTTATTTACGTCATTTAAACCATATATTGAGTTTATTTTCCATCATATGTAGGATAAAGAGTCATTATAYGAGTATTATTTAACTTTCAAGTCAAATTTGATTATATCATCTTAGGCTTCTATTTTATAAGTGGTAAATTCTATTGATTTAGGTACATACATGGTCAATATGGGTTAAAAATTCCTATTGGTATATCTCTGTTTTATTTTTTATAATCTTTTTAAAAACATAGAAATAATCTTACGATTTACAATACAATTCATGATTCGCTTTGATTTAATTTTCTCTACAATTTATAATATGATTATGATTTTCAGAACATTGGATAATAAGAAGCCACCGTGTGGACACCTTTAGATGTGTGTGTATTAACACTTTTAAAACATGTAAAGTTGCATATTTTAACCAATATACTAGAAAATATTTGCAGATAACAGAAATTTCTTTAAATTTGGCAAGAGATCAGTCTTCATAAATGGAATTTAGGCTTCAAAAACTAGATATAAATTCATGATATAGACACATTATATGGCATACCCATACCCATATCCATGTCCAAGATTTTGAGAAATAGAGAAATATCCCCATTTCACATATTTGTTTCCATGTTCATACCCATATCTGCGCATAATTGGTCAATATAACACTGCTTGAAAGTTACAACATATTCATAAAAACAAATTAGAAGTTCAATTATCCATTTCCTTCCTCTATATCCTAACAATTATCCACAAAAAACAAAGGGAAGAATTCAGAGGAAATAACGTTATTTTCAACAAACTATGGTTGGAGAAAATTATCCACCAAGTAGAGAAACCCAYTAGGAAAACATAATTTTGTTTTCAAAAATCTATGGTTAGAGGAAATAAACTCCTCCGTAAGACAATGACAAAGATTTTGAGAAGATCCAATTAGTGAATTGTACCTTCACGGAGATTTTTCGGTCACTTTGGGGCCTCTTGAACTTCTTGACTCGTTTCTTTACTATCTTCTTGCTAAGAAGAGGAACGGCCATGGCTTCTGCAAATCAAGAATAACAATGTTAAAAATATAACTTGAACGAGAGCAAAATAGCAAAATATAAACTTATACATAGCTAATATGATGGGTAATCAAGTACATCTACTGCCTGTGTTTTTTCTTAATGGCTTGTCTGTGATAGATCTTAAAAAAACTGACACTTTTTTACAAATATGATACTTTAACTCTGAAATATAAACCCATTTGCCTACTCCAAGAAATCACATTCGCCGATACACGTTTGTGTTGTGTTCTATCCGAGACAACCGGTTTAATCAAGTTCACGGTTCCAACCAGAAACAATTAATCTGAACTTCTCACGAAGACCTTGACATTTACCCAAAAATCTACATAGTCAGAGGTTCACTATTGTGCAATACATGGCTCATCGCGTTCAAGTTACAACGTGAATGGTGCCAGAAATGAAGCTAAAGTGCAAAAAATAAAACCACTAAAATCTGAGATGGTGTGAATCCGAAGCAAGTTAGAAGGAGAAAACTAAAATTATCAACCCAAATGATCTTCAACTATGCAGGTTTAAATTTTTAGGATTGGATAGAGGAACAGAGAAGTCGAGAAGATGGAAAACTCACAAATCAAATCGTCTATACAATGAAGTCAAAATTAAGCATTTCATGAATAATGCAGAAAGAACAGAGTTTGCAGATTTAAAATGAAAAGAAGCAGAGGGGAAGAGGCTTACAGATTATGATTTCCGCCAAACTGCCGTCACGTTCTAAACCCTAATGACCGTGGAGAAGAAAAGGGAAGTGCCAAGGTTACCTCCTTTATATGTAAGAGAGGCTCGATTTCGTATTATTCGAGCCACCGTATTGTAATACCTTGGGATGTTCAGATGTTGGGATTGTTTTGATCTTGGTGGTTTAAAGCTTATCATTATAATATTTAATTTATGGATTATTATAATATATTATTATATAATTTAAATTTTTTAAGGAGAATGACTCTTCAGCCCACATGAGAATTCATAGTTCCACCTTACAAGTGGGATGAATCCACTATGGGGTGTTGTAATTTTAAAATTCTATAATAGGTTACAGTGCTTCTTAAAGTTTTTATTATTATAGTTTTTTATTTTCAATTATTATTATAATTTAAATTTTGTAAAATGTTATTTTTTACATTCTTTATTATAAACATTTAAATATTAAAATGAAAATAAATTATCATATATTTAAGTAACTCAATGGTCAAGTGACACCAAGATTTTAAAAGTTAAAGGTGTAGTTGAGGCTTAATGGCCCAAAAAGGTGAGGCATAAGCCTCAAAGTTTAAGAAAAAAATTAATTAAAGTTTTGAAAAGAACATATAATATACTAAATTAAAATGGTAGAAGGTATACATATTTATAAACCAGAAGTTTATAAGCAACTAACGGGGACCTATGTGATGCACAAGATTTGTTAAGCAAAAGTTAAATAATAGATAAACATAAGAGTATACAATTGTTTTATATTTTTCAATTTTTAAATAATTAATAATTATTTATGTTTTGAGTTGGACAATGATATAGAAAATATATGATATCTAAAAAATTTTGACCAACCAACTAGTATTATAAACGTGGTAGCCAATAGGTGTTATTTATCAAAATTCATGGTGGATTTCCATTGGTCAAAACACTTTCAATCCCATATATTTTCCCCATCATAGATTTTCCCTTACATACTACTATTAATAATTGTTTTATAACACAAAAATAGCAATAATTAATTTTAGCTAGCATTGTTCATCATAGTGATGAAACCAACCAACTCGACTCGAGTTGGTCGATTTTCTAGTATTTTTTATCGGCTTTGGTTCAACAATTTCCCAACCTGACTAGGTTAGATCAATTTCACTTTGTCCATTGTAAATTGACCAAAATTGAACGACTCGACCATAGATATAGATTTATATTTTTATATTTTTAATATGGAAAAGTGGGAAAATTCCCATATTTTTAGTCTAAAATATTTTATTTCATGAATTTAATTTTCATATTTATTTTTTAAGTTTAAATCTTTCCAACCGATTAACCAAACCAAAAATCGACTCAAACTGATACCACCCAAGTTGGACGGATTTCACTAATAGTTAGTTGGTTTCAAGTAGGGGTGCAAATGGCTCAGATCATGATCTGATCCGAAGTCCGGTCCTATATTCTTGGATTCAGATAGCCTCATTTCAAACTTTTGGATCGGATCAGATAATAGGATCTTATAAGAAATCAAATCAAATTCAGATCACTCGGGCCCTATATGATTTGATAAGATTCGATATGATATATATGTTATTTATTTATTTATATAAATATATATAACAGACATAGATATGTTACTTTTTTATTCATTTATAAATATATTAATTATAGTGCATTTTTGCGAATTTGTTATATTATTTTTTTTATAAAAACATGTATATATGTGATGAAAATAGTTGAAAAGACGCTAGTAGTTTTTATTTTTTCTTTATTTAAATTGTTATATTTTATTTTCATTTTAATAATTTATTAATATCCAGGAACTATATGTATCATATGTATCATCGGATTTGAATTCAGATCCATATGTATCATATCCAAGATATGTAATTAACAATATCGGGTCAAATTCAGACATATGTTGATTCGAATATGACCCGATCTGTTTGCATCCCTAGTTTTGGGTGACCAACTCCCCAACCTAACCAAATCAATTTATTTGGCCAAATAGCCTACAGCCGAACCAAACTAACCCACGAACACTCCTAATTTTAGCTAAATTCATAGTCTAATCTCTAAGAAATAAAAATAATTTAATCTCCAATAATTATTGAAAATTTATAGCGAAAATACACAATTATTGAAAATATATTGGTAATAAAAATACAATAATTACAAAAAATATAATAAATACTAAAAATATATTAAATTAGTCAACATATAGTGTAATCTCAAATAACAGTTTAATTTCTATTAAATATTAATCAATAAATTATAACAATAATACAATAAATACAATAAGTACAATAAATTAAACTTATAAAGTTAAATAAATAGTAGTTTAATCTCTAACAATTATTAAAATTTTCTATTAAATAACAAAGCAAAAATAGATTCATACGTAATTATCTAAAATATATTTATCACAAAAAACAATAAAATTACTTAAAATAAAACAAATATTGATTTTAGTATATATAAATATATAACAAATATAGATAAAGATTTTAAAATTATCGTTTATAAACTTTAATTTTTTAAAGTTATTTTATAGAATTATTAGTTGATATAAGTCAAATTAGTTATTTACAATATTATTTAGTTATTTAAATAATATCATTATTAAATTTTAAAATATTAACTAATTGTTGAATTTAATAATCCACAAAATTATAATTTATACTATTATGACATAATTTTGTTAATAATTTTGTAAAATATTAAATTATTATTAATTTTAATATTATGTTATAATTATTTTACTAGTTTTAAGAAATTTTTAAATTTATTACATAATTTCATTGTTTTTTAACTATTTAAAATTTAGTTATGTTAAATATATCATTAGATAAAATATCTACTTATTTAAATATTTAAATAATGTATAAAATATTTACAATTTTTCATTATTTGAAATTTATTTATTTTAAAGTTATTAAATAATATTAAATATTGTGTTATATAATTATTTAGCTGCTTTTAATATTTAGTTATTTTAGACATTTAGTTATTGAAATATTTAAACAATATTTTAATTTTTTTAATGTTGAATATTTATTTACTTGAATAACATTTAAATTGAATGATTCGGAAAACAATGATTTTGTAAAAATAAAAAATTATTAATAATATGAATAATATTAAATCCATTATAACTATTTTTGGTGTTTTTAATAAATATTTTAAAATTATTATATAATTTTGTGAGAATATTTTAATTCAAACTTTCTTTAGATAGATATAGATAAAAAGTGAGAGAGAGGGTAAATAAGATTAGAGATAACTTATGAGAGAAATCTCTATTAAATTAAAGATAATTTAGGAGAAATTAAGGGATAGTGGGGGAGGTAGTTTTGGAGAGGATATTATTTAGGTTATTGGGAACGTGTGGGAGAGGGGGAGAGAGAGAGAGACTATTTTTTTGTGTTTTCAATAAATATTTTAATAATTTCATGAGAATATTAAATAATTTTTAAATTTTTAATTGAAACGTTCTTTAGATAGAAATAGATAAAAAAGTGGGAGAGAGGATAAATAGGATTAGAGATCATTTAGGAGAGAAAATGAGAGATGGTGGGGGAGGTAGTTTAAGCTTGGTTTGGAGAGATCAAATCGGCACCCCACAACATCCCACAGCACATCCCTGCCATGTATTGGGAACATCTCCCGATAATAATACTAGAAATGATGATGTCATCATCGGGAGATGTTCCCAATACACGGCGGGGATGTGCTGTGGGACATTGTAGGGGGCAATCTTGTGGGGGGGCTGATTTGAACTCTGGTTTGGAAGGAGTACAAATGCAAATATGTATAGTGCAAAACGTTGTATTTTGTATGTATTTGTACTGTACATATTTGTATTTGTACTCCTTCCAAACTAAGCCTTAGGAGAAATTTTAGAAGATGTTATTATTTAGGTTATTGGGAATGTGTGGGAGCCAGAGAGAGAGAGAGAGAGAGAGAGAGAGAGATTTTAGGTAATTTTTATGGGAAAGGAGAGCACCTCATTGGTTGTTTAAAAAATGACATGGAATAAAAAAAATAGAAAAATCAAAAAAAGGAGAAAATTTCTTCATCACTGTGTTTTCGTGTGTTTATATAAAGAAATTGTCTCCTTTTTTTTAATTTTCTATTTTTTATTCCATACATATATATAAACATTTTATATTTCATGTAAAAAATAATTTAGAAGAAAGGAAACAACTTAGTTGATTTGATCTATGTAAATACTACTACTACTACTACTACTACTAATAATAATAATAATAATAATAACAATAATAATAATAATAATAATAATAATTGAAGAATTAGTTCTCTACTTTGGTCATTTTATTATTACTTTTACTATTACTATTAAGAAAAAATTAATTAGGAGAGGAATTAAGAAAAATAACAAACTTTGGACATTACATTTAGAATAATAAGAAAAATATCACTTCAATTATTCAAAAGAAACTAAGAACTAAGAACTTAATTAGTCCTTCTTGTATTGAACTTGCAAGTACATGTAGTTTACCATCACTAGGATACCCCTACAATGATACAAAAAACACTATCAAAATGATGGAAAACCCATATATCTACAATGAGCATAGAGGGCCATCCAAGAACTGTGATAAGCATAAAACACCTCTTGAGACTTAGGATGAGAAATGAGCGTTGCTTGAAACTTGTGATGGACATAAAATGGCATTGCCAGTCTAAGACAAACCCAATACACTACTAGCACCTTGCGGTGGACACGAAATGATAAGCCATGCTGTAACAAATGGTGGATAGGCCTTGAGGCCAACAACACTCGCCTACAGGAGATCGCCACTGCTTCTAGTCACAATGAGCTATGATGAGGCATCTCGGAGGCGATCGAGCAAACACCTGAGTACTCCAATTAGGCCCAAAATCTTGGCCTTGACACATAACTATAAGSAAACCTACGATGGGATGTAGCCTACACGTGCTAAACGAGAATCCTTAAGGAAAATGAGACTTCAACCTCAGTGGATCTTGTGAAACACATGGCAAAACCCCAATGGCATTCCGTCAACAACCAACATAAAGACTAGGATTCCCTTTCCTAAAAGGAATCAAACCCTTTAT